CCCGCTCCGGGGAAGGTGGGGTGGTCTGGGGCGCATCGGGTGGCTGCCGCGAGCCGTGCCAGGTGCAGGGTCTGCTGGCTGGGTGCTGGCAGTCTTGCACCTGGCACGGGCACTGTAGCCAGGCCGTGCCCCTTTAAGGGGTCCGGGGCCGGGAGGGGGGCAATAGAGTTTCCCTGGTGTTGGCCAGAGTGGCCACCAGGGAAAGCTGGGGAGGACTAGCCTCCCACTAGTTCGAATTAAGTGGCTACATACCCCTTAATTCGAACTAGTAAGTTCAAACTAGGCTTAGTCCTCGTAAAATGAGGTTTACCTAGTTCGAACTAAGCGCTCCACTAGTTCAAATTAAGTTTGAACTAGCGGAGCACTAGTGTAGCGCCTATCAAAGTTAATTCGAACTAATGTCCGTTAGTTCAAATTAACTTTGTAGTGTAGACATACCCTATGAGAGATGGACTCAGATGAAAGAGCAGATTTGAGTTATCTTCTGACTGCAAAAGGCACTCTTTTCTTGGAGCTTTGTAGGTACGCAGACATTTCAAAGCAAAGATCCCACTGAAGGCTCCAGAAAGCAAGCTGGATCAATAATAATTTCCGCAAACTTCACTCTTTTACATAACATCTCCCGCCCGGTTCTCTGTGGGATAAACAACTGGACAGAATTATGACATTTTGCAGATGTTGGAAGCATAAGCAGTACCAGGAGCAATGATGGGGAGGGGCAGAAGGAGGCAGGAGGGGGCAAGGCAACTGAAATTCATTACTTGAAAGGGTTTGTGGGGTCATTGACAGCAGTGCTGAATGGCTTTTTCCAGCCGTTTCGAGCTGAGATTTGTGCTCTGTAATCTAAATGCTTTTATCTGTTTCTGAAAATAGACAGGAATTTTTTCCACAGGCTGCTCCAATCTGGCCATAGAGATGCAAGGAAGGATTACAGGGATAAATTCAGGTTTTGTCAAGTGAGCAACTAAACATCGGCAGCTTTCTCACCACTCCCTCTCTCTCTCTCTCTCTCTCTCTCTCTCTCACCTTAAGAAGAACAGATGAGAGGGCTAAGATCACTAAAGACTGTTCACAACATCTAATTCCTGTTTGGTGTTTAGTTTATTTTCTAGGTAAGATATCTATAGGATCACTGACTGGCTAAGAACTAGTACATCCAGAGAGATCACTGATTATGCTTTCTATGTTATGCTCTAGTCTAGCTATTACATAATTGCTGCAGCTAAGCTGTCCCTGTTGCATGGCCAGGTCCTCTTCATGCAGTAGGTTTCTTTAAAAGGATTTCTAATTCTAGAAGTGTGCCACGAAGGGTACATTTTAGAAATTCCACAGATAGCATTCTGATATCCAAAGTCTGCCCTGATTTATCTGGAGGACAGATGGAACAAGAAAATGGAGTTAGGAGCTACCTTAGGTTTAAGTAATAGATGGAGGTTTAAATTGGTGGCCAAGGCATGGGCTTGTGTTTTTATTTAGTGGTTCCAATTTCTATTGGCATTTCAGCCCAAAATGTTGGTATTCTCCCAGTATCAGGTTTTCTCTCAAGACTATGCCATCTTTGGTTGTATGTCGAAAACATACTCCATTCCATCTTTACACTCAACATGCCTCATCTTGTTTAGCTGGTGAATCAGGCTGGAAATCTGAGAAAAGGGTCTCTTATGATACCGTCGCTGCTACTTAGCTTTAGCTTTAACAGACACACCCTAGAACAGGCCACCTTACCAAATTTTAAGACTTCCACTGCAGCAGCACAGCAGAGGACTACAAAATGCATGGGGATTCACCCACATCCTGAATGTAACAGTGCAATCTAACCATGATTCCGCCTGCAAGACAGTTATTTGTCTGACTTCAGAACATGTCCAAGATGAAGGTTTAATTTCAAGTCACCACATAACACCCACCAGCCAGGCCAGACACATTCAATCTGTTTTGCTCTCAACAGTGGAAGAAGTTCTATTAACTTTCTGAGGTAAACATGTGCTGTCTGGCACATAGCAACCATCAGAAGAATCA